CAACTATTGCAGTCATTCACAGGCAGAGGGAAGAAGCATTAATACCAGTAGGCATGAAATGCTCCAGCAGGGAGTAGAACTCTTTTGCACTCATGGCTCTTCATAAGGGGAATGGGTCACAGTTGTTATTGATTGGACGGCATTTTGGAACTCCAGAGGCTGCAGAAAACAGAAGTCCTGCTGTTTTAAAGGGAAACAGAAGTTAGCAAGCAAGCAAACTCTCTTTAAATAAATAATCCTTCTCTCAAATGGAGCATGTACTGTCCAGTTTGTCATTATGACATGAATATATTTCCATAGATTACTCGAATTTGAAAGAACTGCAGCCAGCTCCTTCACCAGGATTAACTGTAACTGAATACAGTGGCAAGTGATTTGCTGTATGAAAGATGTGAACCTTATTAGAAACACATGCCATGCAGAGAAAATGACTTCAAATGAATCGCTGAACATTTATTTTTAAGGAGGAATAAACAGCGTCATTTGTGACTGTGCATGCCAATGAGACCCTCTTGTTGCCTTTGATTCTGACCTCAGTGCTGGAGCTGCTTATACATAAATTGCATTTCATCGTTGGCTGTCACATTCTGTCATATCGCTTTTCCCAAAGGATTGGTAGAGCTGATCAAATGATCAGAGTATACAGTTGTATCTGCAAAACACATGGGCTCTGTAAAACAGTCATTGCACTGTTGATTTGTTTTTCATCTATATTTGTGCTGAGTTTGCACATCGGTGATTGTATACAGATTATACATGAGTCTGTTTATATCCTGATGCATGTTCAATAATCCAGGTAGAAAAATCAAAAAAAGTTAAATCTGGTCCTCTGGACATTCAAAAAACAAAACAAAGCAAAACATCAACAAAAAAATGTAGAAACATTTCATCTTTCATCCAAAAGACTTTCTCAGGCTGAGGAGCTGTATTCAGCTCAGTCATAAATAGCACCTCTCAGAGTGGATCAACCAGTTTGCTGCTGACAACCAAAACCAGCTGCTCACATGATCAAGAAGGACCATCAGCCTAACGATGGATAATTAGCACCCTGATGGCTGCTTAATATTCACAGAGGGCTGAGTGATACTAGCAATAACAGCATTGCAAGAAGGTGATGGTTGAACACGGAGGCCTCCACCCCTGTTTAATAATGGACAATTTATTTTCACAATACCAGCTTTATTATTTGTTCTTTATAGATGCTTTAAAAAGAGAAGTTTCCATTTAAAAACAGGCTACTTTACATAATCACACCCATGGTTTTAGAAATTCATTAAAAAAGCTTTGCAGAAACATAAATAATTTATTGCTGATCTCTCTCTGTCTCTCTCTCTGTCTCCATATATATATATATATGAGTGCAACAACTGACATAATATCAATCTGCTTGCGTTGCACATTTGGAGTGTTTGCACCTGTCGACCACCGTAGTGTGGTCAATCTCCTAAAAACAGCTCAATGTGTACATTTTCAAACGCACACAATTACTGATCAGATGAATCAGTCGGAAACTGATTCTTGCATAATCTTTAAAGCTACACGCAACGAAAAAGAAAACTTGTAACAAACAAACTGTTCACCTTTTCCTTCATTTTTATTTTTAAATTCCCACCAGCCTGTATGTGTTAATGTCAGGAAATGAAACTGATTCATTTGAATACCGCATCAATACATTTACACCAAGTTGCCAGTTTTATTTTTATATATTCATTTACCGGTAGCCTATTTATTAATTATTTTGGCACGCGCCAAAACATGTTGCGTTCTGAAAACCTTTTTACCCTAAATGACCTCTGAGATTTGATTATTCCCCTCTAAAGCTCAACTTTGTTGTCATACGTCAAGAACATAAAACCTAAGACTAATAAAAACATTGAAGGACTTTTTGACTTTTACTAATTTTGATCATGATTTTATTTACAAATAAAATAAAGCAAACATTTTGCGGCAGCGCAATTTTAACTAAAACAAATTACAAACGATTCTTGTGGCTCAGTATTTTAGATAGTTTCTAATAAATTATCAGCTGTTTTTTGTGAGGATAAAGACAAAGAAATGTTTAATGCTGCTAAAATACAAATTGAATCAAGGCAACTGTTTCTTTCAAGTTTTTGAGGAAGACGTTTTGCTTTTGTTATAATTTTAAAGCTTATTTAAATCTAAAACACCAAACTGGTTGCTATGTAATAGCGCAGGAACAAAATGATTATCAAAGTGTTATCTTCCCAGTTTAACTTCTGTTCACCACACACTGAGCATTTTTACTTTTTTTTTCTAAAATCTCTCTTTGAGCAAACTAGTCCAAATATATGGATTTTATTTTATTTTTTACATCAAAAACTGTTTCTGCGTCGGCTGTGTAATAAACCCTACGAGTGATAAAAATTACATCATATCTCCAGAACCTGGCTCGGTTCTGATCTGCGCTGCGGCCTCTTTAATGAAAAGCTCAGAGATGCCATTTATAAGAAAGTGCGGTTAAATAAGGTTAATATTTGAATCTAACTTTCTGTTATGGTCTGTCACTGGTTTCGAACAAAGAGTGTTTTGTTGGTGCTGCTCATGGTTCCGTTTGGGTCTGAACAGAACCGCGCATGGTGCCCAATGCACACCTGGAGGAAAATTGGACGGAGAGACCTGCTGGTTGGGCGTGGACGCGAGTGTGACGTCACAAAACCCAAGACTCATTCCGTTGCAGCTATCCAGGTGTTCATGTCTTTTATTTGGATATAGGTTGGATCATTCTTTTTCTCTTAATCCCCTTAAGTCATGGACTGTCCAAGATTAACCTCCTGCAGATTCCCCAAAATTTATGATTGTATCATCAAATTAAGAGCAAGACAAAACGTTGCTGTCACATAAAAACATCTAGTCTGAGACTTTTATCATGAAGAGACTTGTCTGCCCATGTGCTTATGAAATCAGCTGCAGAACTTATTGAAGATTTAAATAAAATAAAAACTATGAAAACAATATCTACAAAAGTTAAATCTGGTCCTCTGGACATTCAAAAAACAAAAAAAACAAAGCAAAACAACAAAAAAATGTAGAAACGTTTCATCTCTCATCCAAGAGACTTCCTCAGTCTGAGGTGCTGTATTCAGCTCAGTCTCTTAAATAGCACCTTCTCAGAGTGGATCAACCAGTTTTGCTGCTGACAACTAAAACCAGCTGGTCCTTCTTGATCATGTGAATGAGATAATAACACATGCTTGTGCAGACTGATGTTTCATGATTGTTGCCAAATACAAAAGTAACTAGACACTTTGCTTACAGTCAAAGAAAGATGATTGAAGGGACACAGATATGGAAAGAAATGTGGGAAGCCAGAAGGCTTATTATTTTTCTTATTATTATTATTATTTGTGTATTTAACTTTTGCTTTTGCAAGGAAATTTCTTTATTTAAATCTACACTCCAAACAAACAAGTTTCATTATAGGGACAAACTGTAGGGATGTGCTTGAAACATGTAATTACAGCAGAAAGTGAAGGATGCAGCTGAAGACACAGAGCCCCCCACCCCCCAAAATGACCGAAACTGTCACTCCATATTTGTTTTGCTTCATCTGCAACTTAACAGTTAACAGTTATCAAAAACATCCACTTGTTTATTTCACATTATGTAAATAAACACCTGGACATCCATCCATCCATCCATCCATCCACCCATCCATCCGTCCATCCATCCATCTATCTTCCTACCCTTCTTGGAGATTTTATGTATTTATTAGTTTATTTATTTATTCGTTTGTTTATTTGTTTATCGTGGTTGGAAGAAATTTAGGACTTAGAGGTATAGACTGGACGGTCTGTCTTAAGTTTAAACAACAAAATAAAGAATTAAGAATTATAAAGAATTTCACCACTGAACGATAATTCCGTCGTGGAAAAGTGTTTCAAATACAAGATGTTTTATTTATTATGTACAGTATTTTACAAAGAACATGTAGAAATTAATGTGATTAAAGATTAAACATTAAACATTTTGACATTAGTTTCAGAACGACAAATCAAACATTTTCCATCTGGACGATTTTATGAAGAAGAAAAAAAGACGTTCAATAAAAAGAATAAATGTTGCTCTGAGGAAAATATCACTGAAACACCAGCGCGCGCGCACACAGAATGCACTACATCTAAAAAAGGTTGGTGTTATTTAAACACTGTATGCAACTTACTGGTGATTTTTAATAACGATTACTTCACAAATACACATTATTTACAGACTGAACTCACGTGAGCTCATCTGTTCGTGGAAACATCAGTTGTAGAAGTTCAGATCGCCATCACATGAATCTTGACGTGTTTAAACAATCAGAATAAATTAAAATAAATCAAACATGAACTTGTTTATCTCTGTTTCACGTTATTTGTGCTTTTAAGGCTAAACACCAAATCTGACACCTAAATATTAAATTTGATTTTAAGGTAATTTCTATTATGACTACAGAAGTTCTGTCATTTGTTTATTATCCAAATAAATGATCCTCCTTTCTGCGCTGCACGTGATTCACGTGCAACTGATCTAGTTTCACATTCATGAATTATTATATTTTAGCTCCTTCTGCTTCGTCAAGCCCAAACGCTGATGTCGTGCTGCTGCTTCCTAAGCTCATGGACACTTCGCACATTAACGCAGTGCGCGCAGGAAGCTGCTCCTCTGCATGACGAGCGTCCATCCTCGTTAAAATACCTTTTTTTTCCTGACACTTCCAGGAGAGCTCTGCTTCATCATCTCCTCATCATTCAATCATCCAGTGGGCCTTCCTCTCTGAGTCTCGTGGGTTTGTTGCGTCAGGCTGCTGCTGGGGTGAAACCGGACTTGTGCTGCTTACAGCAGGTCCCTGACTCATTACTGAAGGTGAGCAAAGCAGATCACACCTGCGCGCGCCACCATGCGAGTGAACTGAAGGCGTCTTTGCAGCAACTCTATGTCAGAACCCGACACGGTTTGAAGGGAAAGGCGCCAAACGGGTCAGACCGGGAGAAGACGCGCGCATGACATCCTGTCTGGTTCTGGATCCTCGCTGGGCAGCAGAACCCGTGATGTTCGTGTACGACAGTAACCTGGAGGACTTGAACAGGAACATGGAGGGGCTGATGGGCAGTGGGAACTTCGTGGCCGCTGCGAGCCAGTGCCGCAACATCATGGCGCACCCGGCTGCCGCCGCGGCTTTCGGGGGCCACCCTTCCAGCCTGGTGCACTCCTCCGCCCCTGGCTGCACCTCAATCGACGTGTCCTCCTCTTCAGGCTCCAACGAGACGACTGCATCTTCGGGGAAACAGTGCGCGGCAGCGGGGCCGTGCCCGGGAGCCGCCGTGCCTCACCAGACCTCCTCCGGCTCGGCTGCCTTACCCTACAGCTACTTTGGGAACGGTTACTATCCGTGCAGGATGGCGCGCGGCTCTCTCAAGTCCGGCTCGCAGGCGGCCGGAGCCGCGCTCAGCTCGCAGTACATGGACACGACAATGAGTCCTGACGAGCACCCGAACCACCGGGCCAAGGAGTTCGCCTTCTACCACGGATACGCCGGGCCTTACCAGTCCGTGGCCAGCTACTTGGACGTGTCCGTGGTTCAAACGCTGGGGGCCGGGGAGCCGCGCCATGACAGCCTACTCCCCATGGACAGCTACCAGCCCTGGGCCCTGACCAGTGGCTGGGGGGGACAAATGTACTGCCCCAAAGACCCGGCTCAGGCTGGACACCTCTGGAAGTCCGCACTCGCTGGTACGCAGCTGATTTCTGCTTAATTCACAACAAGTTGAGAGAGCTGCGTTCGCGTGCCAGAACGAATTTAGATTTCAGTCATCATGTCTGATTAACAAACATTAGTCATGATAAGATAAAACTTGAATATTAGAGTCATGATGAGTGCTTAAAATATAAGTAACATGACTTCATGTCACGAGCTGTTTGCTGAGGTTGCAGCTTTAATAGTTATATTTTTTATAAAAGATTTGATGTGTGGTGAGTTATTTATTGCTCTAAAGGGGACATTAAATTTATTATTATTATTATCATTATTATTAGACAGAAGACAATGTAATTCTTTATGTTTCAATCCTATAAACGTCACTTTTAAAATGTATTTAGGCCTAAATTTGCTCCCTTGTTCTTATTTTAGGATGAATATTAATCTGACTTTTGATAATCTAAATGAATACATTTAAACATTTTTTTTCAAAATAGAAAAAAATATAATTTAAATTATTTTTTATTCTCAATAACATTGAGATAGTTATTGATTTTTTTTTTTAAACAGTTGGCTTTTTATTTTTTACATGACGGTTGGTGCCATGAATATTAAGAAAAGACAAACTTTATGTTTGCTCCAACAAATGCAAACATTCAACACAAGTCCATCATTTTTCTGTTTGGTTCCAAAATGAAAGTAAGAATGAATACGTCCCAAACGTGAAGTTTTCTTTGTGACATTTCCACATGAGAGCTTTTCTCGTGTACGATGTAAAGTGTGTTGCTGCGCGCAGCCCTCACGCGGCTTCTGCTCTCCTCTCTTCTCCAGATGTGGTGGCGCAGCAGCACGACGGCTCGTCCTTCTGCAGAGGCCGGAAGAAGAGAATTCCCTACACCAAAGTCCAGCTCAAAGAGCTAGAGAAGGAATACGCGGCCAACAAATTCATCACCAAGGACAAGAGGAGGAAAATCTCGGCTTTGACCGGCCTCTCCGAACGGCAGATCACCATCTGGTTTCAGAACAGGCGCGTGAAGGAGAAGAAGTTCGTGGCCAAAGTGAAGAGCAGCGCAGCGTAGAGAGCAGCTTTCTGTTCTCTGGACACAATGACCTCCATGTATTTACCGAACGGACTGAAGTGGAATGATGGAGGAAAAGTGGACTGAGAGATGAAAAACAGACTCATGAAGAAAAACAGACTCGTGAAAAACTGAAAAGTCTCAGAGATGCTGTGGAATCACGTGACTCTGTCCTTGTGTGATGTCATTATGTGTGTGTTTATAGCTTTAGCTGTTTATTGTGCTGTATATATATATATATATATATATATATATATATATATATATATATACATATATATAAATGTGTGTGTGTGTGTGTGCGTGTGTTAGGGCTGTATTGTTATCCATGTTGTTTATGTTCATCAACCAATAATCACATTAAAATGAAATAATAAATTTATTTAACCTGCCATGGTCAGCAGATGTTAAAAAAGATCATGTGATCTCTGTCTAAAGCTGAACATGCCCGCAGGCCTGATACACGATCAAGTTAATATATAGGAGCCACTCAGCTGAATAAAATAAAAAGTGTCCACAAAACTGAGGCAGAGCTGCTGCTGGGAGGTGAACACAAACACAACACCCTGGATCAAGCCGCTGCTCAGTTCTCTCAGCTTCCTGTGGACAATCCTGATGAAAGTGTCTCAGGCATGAAGGATCAGAAAAGAAATAGACTAATAACTGAATTAAACACAAAATGTTCAACATTTTAACCTTTCATTCTGTCACAAACATTATTCAACTCTAGACTAATTTTCTTTGTAGACCCCCTCCCAAAAAAAAAAAGAAAAAAAAAAAGCTACTTAATGTGTTGTCCAGTAAAGATAACAAAATTTAAGAAACTATTTACAAGAAAATAATAATAATAATAATAATAATAATAGGCGACTGTGGCTGAGTGGTTAGAGCAGTCGTCCTCCAATGCAGGAGTTGGGGGGTTCAAATCCACCAGCAGTCACATGCCGGAGCGTCCCTGGGCAAGACACTGAACCACTCATTGCCTCCGATGTGTGTCCCATCGGTGTAAGAATGTGACCTAAAGCTCTGATTATTCTCTTAAGAATGATTTGTTCAATTAGCTTTGTAGAAATCTAGTAGAGTGCTGTATGAATGGGTAAATGAGGCACAGATTGTAGTGTAAAGCACTTTGAGTATCTCGATAAGATAGAAATGTGCTATATAAGTACATTCCATTTACCATTTATAATAATAAACTAAGTACTAAATTACAGTAAAAATGCAGCTTTTGGTTTTATGTATAAATTATAAAATATAAGATGTCTCAGTAAAAAGGACTGTTTTGATTTTGTTTTTCCTTCTGTTATGACTTGGTGCTATATAAATAAACTGAACTGAAATAATTAAACCAGGTGGACAGAAAGAGGAACACACGCACACACACACACACACACACACACACACACACACACACACACACACACACACACACACACACACACACACACACACAGGTTTGTTTTGCTATCTTTATGGGGCCTTTGCATTGACTTCCATTCATTTTTCATTCATGTCTATAGCCTAACCATGACCTTTATCCATAACCTAACCATTACCAGTACATACCTAACCCTAAACCTAACACATCCTCAATTCACACCTTAGTCCTAAACCTAGCCCCTAACCCACCAACGGGACTTCTTCTTATGGGGCCCGGGCTTTGGGCCCCATAAGGAGCAGTTGGTCCTCACAATGTTAAGTTGGAAAAATGGGCCTCACAAAGTAGCATAAACAAGGACACACACACACACACACACAGGGAGATTTAGATTTATTCAAATGGACAAAACGTGTGCGGAAAAGAAGCTAATTCTAATTATCTGTACTTTGAAGCATTTCCCTTGTGGAGTGAAGAGAGGAAACAGGAAATACGCTCCGTCCTTCTTTTATTGTGAGCATGATAATTACAAAGTAATTCAACTTCCATTTTGGTGTGTGGCTACATCTGGGAGGAAGAAAGGTTCCTTTTCAAAATTGGGTTGCCACATCTGATCCTCCATAATCAGCTGTGCAGGCCACTGAAAACTCTGGGGTGGCATCAGTTGAAAAGCCAGAACATATTTTATGGAGATTTGTTTTGTTGTGATAAAGAAGTTACTTGACAAATAGAGCATGCATGGTAATCATCTTCAGATATTTATAGGTTTACTTCTTGATTTTTAATTATTTTATTTTTATTTTTGAGCAAATGAGGGCAGCACAGTGGCTCAGTTAGTAGAGCTGGTTCAAATCCCAGCCCGGATCTTTTCTGTGTGGAGTTTGCATGTTCTCTCCGTCAGGGCCAGATTAACACTTTGCTGTACCCTGGGCAACAATCTTCAAGGGCCCCATCATCACGACCCCAGAATCACCATAATCTGGCAAAATACAGAATAAATTACCATAATATACAGTAAATATACTTAAAATTCTAACTATCAAGTGTATTTTTATGTATAAAACTCCAAATGCTCATTGACACAAACCATCAAGACTGAATTAAGTTGAACACACTTTGAACACCACATGACACCATATGTGTACTTGTTTAGTAACATGTTGGCCACTGGTGTCAGAAACATTTATAATGTTTGTGTGTGGGGGGACACACTGATGGGGGGTCTGGGGGTCCTCCCCCCGAAAATTTTGAATAAAGTGAATGCCATTTCCTGCATTCTGGTGTATTTTAACGGTTGTTTAACATCTAGTTTTACATACATAAGTAAACACTTGCAACGCCTTGGGATTCCCCTGGAGGAGCTGGTCCAAGTGGCTGGGGAGAGGGAAGTCTGGGCCTCCCACTTAGGCTGCTACGGAGAGTCTCCATGCATGTGTGAGTTTTCTCCAGGTACTCCAGTTTCCTGCCACAGACCAAAAATATGCATGTTAGGCTGACTGGTAACTCTAATTTGTCTCTAGAGAGTGAGAGAGTGAATGTTTGTTTGTCTCTATGTGTCCCTGTGATGGACTTGTGACCTGTCCAGGGTGTACCCCACCCCTCGCACTGTGATTGCTGGACATGGGCACCAGTGACGCCTGTTACCCAAAAAGCGGGTAAAAGATAATGGATGGATGGATGGTTAAAAAAACAACATACCCTTTTAGTAGAATGCTCTTACTGCCACATTCTGGAAAACCTGCTTAAAAACGTTTTGTATTTAGGACGGTTTTGCTTCATATCTATGTTCTTAGTTAAAAGTGTTCAAGTATGAGTTCATGGCCCAACATAAAACAGTCCTCTCAGCTGCATCAGTGCATTCTGTATAAAAATAATCCAACAGTTTGACAAGCACAAATCATGGGCACCAGTGACCCCCGCCACCCAGAAAGGAAGGAGTGGTTAAAAATGAAAAAATGATTATATTTCAGTAGGAAATACTTTTATAAATCTGTCTTTGCTTGTCAAATATTGTTGGAATTGAAATCCCTCATATGTAGCAGAGTGTTTTTTTTCATTCAACCTTTATTTATACAGGTTAGTTCCCAATGAGTCTCAATGACTCATTTACAAGCGAGACCAGTTACATGCAACATACAATTTGTTTGTTTAAGAACAACAAGTAGTATGCCAGTGTCCCCCAATGCTGAGGGACTTGAGTAGTGATTGTTTGTAGTTTTTGAGATTAGTGTTTTTTTCAGACTGAAATTGAACAGGGAATGTGAGTAAACCTTAATGTTTTTGGTGTAAGATATTCAAGTGGATAGGAGTTACACTGTGTAGAACAGTGCTTCTTAAACTGGGGTCCTCGAACATCCGGGTGTCTATGAGCTGGTGCTTGGGGATCCGGGGAAAAAATTCCATTCATCCATTATCTTTTACCCGTTTCTTCCATTTTGGGTCAGGGGGGTTGCTGGTGCCCATGTCCAGCAATCACTGTGCGAGGGGCGGGGTACACCCTGGACAGGTCTCCAGTCCATCACAGGGACACATAGAGACAAACTAGACAAACAACCATTCATTCTCTCACTCACACCTATGGACAATTTAGAGTTACCAGTCAGTCTAACATGCATGTTTTTGATCTGTGGGAGGAAACCAGAGTACCTGGAGAAAACCCACGCATGCACAGAGAGAACATGCAAACTCCACCCAGAAAGCCCCCCGGACCGGGATTTGAACCAGGGACCAGCTTGAGAGGGAACAGCTGTACCAGTTGTGCCACCATGCTGCCCTATATATAATTTATTTTATTTTATTTTTTGCAAGTACGTAAATGTTTAACAACTGGTTAAAATACACCAAAATGCAGGAAGTCACATTTACTTTATTCAAAATTGTTTTGGGGGAGGACACCCAGACACCTCCCCGCCGGCCCACTTGCTATTTGCCTTCCAGCATCGATCAGTTTACAAATTAAGCCGTTACTTGGTCTGACTACTGTTGTTATGATTCTGTTCAGTTTTATGTCCAGAGTTTCTGTAATATTTAAAAGAAGTGGCAATACTTTTATTATGTTCATTATGTCAATAGGTAAAGTTTTAAAGTGATTTTTGACACTGTTAATTTTCTCAAAACTGTAATTTTTGGAAGTTGAAATTAAAATTTTGTTAATTAAGTGTGTCTGGAATGAAAAATACCCCTTGTTTAAAAGTATAAAAATTGTATTAACACTATAATAGAACATGTCTTAAGTAATTATGTTACACAGATATTTCCATTGCATTAAAGAGACAAATTGAAATAAATTATTTAATAAACATAAGGGTTATGAGGGGGTCCCTGAAACATTTTCTCCCCTGTAAAGGGTCCCTGGACCCAAAAAGTTTGAGAACCCCTCATGTAGAAGAACAGAGGAACGTGTTGATTTTTATTTTTTACTTGTCTGAGGTGGCTCAGAGTGACGGGTTCTGGCGAACACGGAGCAATTTTATCGACTACTAGGTGCAGCGGTGGAGCGAGAGGGTGGTCAGTGGTGGCCTTGGCCCCCCATTAACTTTCGACCACCCCAATCATATGAGGATGCTACTTTTAAGCAATATAAAAAGTAGAAAGCATAGTTTCCTAAAATGCTTGAGGTGGC